ACTCCTTCATATTTCAGTAAAGACCCATATACTGTAAATTTCAGTGAAGCTTCTTCTTAATTTAGCAACTACATTATCTGCCAATACAAGAAATAACACAACAAATCTTTACTTCAGTAATATAGAGAATACATTAAGGTATGTATACTTGCTCTTAAACACCTACATTAATCCCAAAAGCATAAAATCCTGCTGATGAAGCCAAGTATTTATTTGCATGTAGATATTACATGAGCTATATATTTGTAGCCTCACCTCAACATTTACTTGAAAGAAGTAATTCCCAGGCATTTCTATACTGTTGATTAAACCCCCAGCACTGAAGCTGTATCAGAAACTGCTGTGTTTCCTGCCACTTTAAGCCAGGTAAAACAAAACTATGACTGCTAAACAGAAAAGAAAATCTGTATGGAAAATAAAGACATTTACGAGATGCTAAGTCATCTTTTAATTATGCAAGAGGATTTAATGTTTTTAATTATATTGAAATGGTGACAGTGCTCTTTTGTGTCTATATTTTTATATCTAGAAAAGTAAAGCACACTTCAGAACCCTAAGTTTAAAACTGAGACCAATGTAAAATACTAAGATCCAGACAATGAATTAAAAAATCCTTCTATTTGCCTTGAGTTTTTTGAGTCTTCAGGGTGTGATTATATCACATCTACAACCTCTTCTGTAGGAGGCTCAAATACTATTGTCTTTTAAACAGAATGAAATGACAGCCAAGAATCTGGTGTCATCATTTGATCCTTGCAGCTGAAAGCTCACAGAAAATCATCAACTATGATGAGACTGTGGTCTGACAATCTTGCCAGTAACTGATTCAGATCTGGAGTAAGAACCTGAATTGAATCACACTTAATCCTGAGAGAAATTACTCAGGTACAAGTCTGCTGAATACATTTATCCCACTGATAATAATTTATAATTTTACCCTGCCATACAGATAACTGGAATTGATTTCCAGTGTACTAGGTTTCTGTTCACACAATCAGGAATGCCTTGGCCTGAAAGGGCACGAAGGTGAAGGCATTGACTATAAACTAAGAGGGTGTCATGACTACTGTAGGACAGTGGGGAACACAACATCTCTTTTGTAGGCATAGACATTACTCACAAATTCTGACACTAACAATCACTTAAGGAACTGCTCTAAATCTATGCCTCTAGAATGTTTTTACCATACCAGAAAGTCATCATTTCAGACCATTGCATGCATTAAGTAAGGAAGGCCACTTAAAATAAATAATAAAAATTATTGTTATGCTTAATTGGCAGTCTTTTTCACATTCCTTCAACTATGTAAGTCATTGTTCAGCTTGACCCATTATTGAATTGTGAACACATTATAATCCTTTCATAATGCATTCACATTGAATGGGCAATGATGCAAGTACTATTAAAAAGCCACTCTTAACTTTCATTGCTCATGGGATATCTGGATTTAAATAACTCTCTAATTCAACACTATACATTGTCCTCAAGAAATTCTAGCAAGGCAGATTACAAAAGGAAACATTCCTTGACAAGATCACTTTTTAAAAATGGGAGCTGTTAAAAGCCTCTCAGGTGCTGGGAATCTGAGCAGTCACATGTGGAGATGAAGAGGTGGGCAGAGCAGAGCACAGGTGAAGCAGTGCGTCTACAATCAATGTACTCATCCATGCCTGGGAATTATGACATCACAAATGCTATTCATCTGTGCTAGGAAGACTGTCAGAAGCAACATATGCAGGAAGGCATTTAGAATGTTTCCATACAGACCACGTCAGTAAGACCAATTCTTTGTACTTAATTTACTTAATTCTCCCTTTCACCAGCTCTGTCTCAATAGATTAATATATCAAGAAATAATGAGAATTTTGGAAACTTAGATGAAAAATATATCTAGGCCAAAGTTTCCCCCATTATTGCCAAGAAAACATGAAGGGAACTGTTTATTCATTTTCAAGGACATAAGAGAAACAGTTGTTAATAGTTTAAGAAATGGTTTTAGGAACTACAAAGGATGAAGTAAATAATGATGGTTATTATCAACTAATAATGCCTTCTAGAATCATGTAACATATGTTAGGTGTTAAACCCATTAACATGCCAGCTAAACTGCTTTCTCCTCATCCCAAGACACTCCAAGGTGATGGGTTTGGATGGGCACGGTACAGTCCAGCACCAAGAAAGTAGGAGGGGCAAAGTTCATCAGAAAGGCATGTGTCAGCATTATAACTGGAATGCTTCCTGCTAAAGCAGCAGCAATGGATCTCCAGCCCCCCTATATTTTACTGCTGCAGCAAAAGGATTTTTTTCCTTGCTACCTTCTATAATTTAAATCTGACTGGACTCTTTAACTCAATTAAAACTGCTACTGACTCAAAGGGATTTTTTCTTGATAAATCCTGACTTTAAAATTGCAATCTAATGTTACATTTGTTGTTTGGGACTGAAATCCCTGTAAATACAGTGAATTTATTTTGAAGCAGTTTCATCAAATGAGCTTGGATGGTGAAGATCTGACCCGGACAAGCGGGTAAGTGGGGAAGACCCTGCATTTGGTCAAGCCAAGCCCTGTAGACTGGGAAGCCACACTGGGCCTGAGCACATTTTCTAGTCAGGGCCCAGGGAGGAACCAACTGAGATCCGTTGGTATGAAACAGGGAAAGGACATAATACTGTCACAGGTATGGTGGCAAAAAAAAGGCAAAAATGTATTACTTGATTTTTGAGGAATCCAGCTATCTGTTTCAATATTCATACTGAAGAATGACAATTATAGTGGTTAACTTGCCATTTTACAATACACATGAAGGGCCAAGCAAGGCCAAGCAATGAGTCATTTCTACTTGAGCCAATCTATTTATAGCATAAAAAGGTAAATAGAGATCCAAACACCTGCTAAGGCTCTCTTGTTTTAACGCTTTGCTCCTTACACTCGTTCCCGCCTGGCAGACTTCGGTTACTTCACTGTGTCTGTGTGGATCCCCACAGCTGGGAGACAAGTACTAAAACTGCAACAATTTCCTCACTTATTATTTGTGGCAAAAAAAAATCAGGTATTGGGCTGTGTGACTCTCCTTCAGTGTCACTGAAGGAGGCAGGTAGTGACACACAATGAAATTCAGTGAACCTGCAGGAAATCAGAGTGTTTGACCCCACAGGAGTGAGTTACCGTGGGGGTAAGTGAAAACTTCCTTTCTCTTAGAGAGCACCTGTGCATCCTCTGATCTTGGGGAACTGCCAGAGACTGCAATAACTTTAGCAGCCTCTTTATACCCAACTGAACAGTTGTCATTCTTTCTGATGAAAGGGGATTCCTGTGTCCACCCTGACTTTGCTGATAGCTCAGTTTTATGCCACAGCTCCCTTGAATGTCCCTCTGCAGAGAGGGACAACCGGAGTCTGTCCACTCTCAGGCTCCCTAAAATTGACAGCAAGTACTTACTGAGCTTTCCAAAAAGGCATCACTGCACCAATCTGTCCCATGTATAAACACCAATGAGGCAGAGATTTAGGGTTTAGTCTCAGTATCTAATAAACAGCATTGCTCCTGTCACAAAAGACTGTTTCTGTAATAATTTAAAAACTAAAAAGTGCATTTATAAACATCTGCATTTCTACACACAGAAAGAGGGCTCATTAAAACCAGGTGAGTGGAGTAGGCAAATTCCCTTCATGTTGAAGAAAGGTAGAAGCAGGTATAGTGCACTGCAAACCAAACCTGTTCAAGCAGGGAAGCTCTAGTTCCCAAACCCAAATTAGCCTACACAGTACCAGTAATCATCAGGAGAAATTTAGATTATAGAAAATATTTCATACTGATAACTTCCTGAAGTCATGCATATCTTTGTGTTACTAGTCACCACCTGCATAGGTGAAATGAGGTTAATCACAGTAGGAAACTGTTATGAAATAATTTTGACTGAGGAAATAACCAATCAAGTTTCCCATGTGGATAACCAGCATAGCGGCAGGCATTTGAGCTACTCTGGAAACAACAGTACTATTCACAGTAACTTAGTAACTACATTTTAGTATATTGCAAAAGCAGGATGTAAAAGGAAAACTTTTATGTATCAATAACTATAACAGACACAATGTATTTCCATCTTCCATATATATATATATATACACACACATGTATGTGTTCTTACACCTTCTACTTAAGGAGGCTTCCCAACATGCTGAAGCCTGTTTCTACACAACTTGTTTGTAACATGCAAATCAACTAACACAGGCAAAGCTTTCAGCTTCTAAGAGAATCTTTCTGATCAAGTGTGCTTTTTGCTAATAGATACTGCAGAGCATGAAAACAGCTGTTCTAATTCCATCTCTCCTAGCAGAAACCCTGTCTTTAAAAGTCACTCATCACTGAATGGCCTTTAGTCCACAGAAAAATGTGAAGTATGCTTTAATTACATCCCCAGTGGCCTCCCATTTGATGTCCTGTCCACTGTATCTCTGGCAAGACAGCCTTATCTCTGGATATTTTTCAATTACACTAAGCAGCATTTATTCAGGTCCTCACTGATTCACTGTATCAGTATGTGGCTATTTGCTCTTTAACCATAATTTCAAAAAGTGAAGTCTACCTAATTAAAAAATGTAAGCTTTCCAGTAACACTTAGTAATAATGGCTACATTAATTAACATTACATTCAAATGGAAGCCCTCTGAGGATACGTATCACACTGCTAGCATGTTTATACCCAATGTGGTAATATCAACTCTTGCTTTTACAAAATAATTCTTGCTTTATAACAATACATGTTAGTTGAGAATTAAGCACTGCTTGATATGTTAGATATGCTGTCCCTGTATTTTAGTGTACTATATAATTCATTTCATTCATATTTTATTTCCTCTTTAGAACAGTCATACGCATCAAATGAACTGGATATCAGCCCTGTGCAGACAAGATGCCTTTTCTCTGTCATCTGAGTTTTCAGAGTCAGACTCCTGCAGCACTTGCAATACACAGAAAAATTTGCTCATGCACATCTTACCTCTTTGGTGTGGGTATGGAAGGAGACTGACATGTCCAAGAGAAGTTTCCGCTGTTCCACCCTCCTGACAAAATCCTGAATTCGTACTTCCAGATGCCGGGCTGCTTTATAGATCTCTTCAGGGTCACATTCTCCAGTCTGAGCCAACTGCTCTGCAGCCTCCAAAAGCTTGTCTGCATTGGTGTATGTATTCTACCAGCAAACAAAGCAAGAAACAGAGTATGAGCAATACAACTATGGTAAGTAAACCCTTGAGACAGGCTGTTTATACCTTCAAAGGCATGAAAGGCAAGTGATTACCAGAGTTTTAAAACAATAGTAGTAATTCCTACTGGCACTGCCTTCTGTGGAAAGGGAATGTATAAAGCCACATATATTAAATAATTTCTTATTTGAAACACACCACCCCATCCCAATTCTGCTGGGCATAGTAACAGGACTGTCCACTTGTTTATTTCCAAGTTCCCTGGAATTTCTCAGAGATAATGTAATGAAGCAAGTGAGACTAACCACGTGATACTCGGCTACAAGCTCATTGCAAAGGACTCACAATGGCTATCACATTACAGCATGTAATCATGTTAGCCAGATACGTCTTAGCCTCAAGAAACATTTGCCTTTCATTGGCTTTTGTGAGATAACTTAAAAAGACTGTGTTTTCAAGTTCCTTCTACATTTTTTCCTCTCATCTACTGTTCTGCATCATATTTCTAAATGGAGTAGTCTATCTGATTAGCTTGCAGATTCCAGTAGGTATTGCTGAGATTGCTTTGGAGGGGTAACATTTCCAGTTGCACGGGGGCACGTGCCTGCCCTCCATTACATAAGAATTTGAACACTTCACCATCCTGAATAGATTTACCCCACAGAAATGGCTTTTGCAATATGTGATGTTTTATCCCCACTTTACAGAGAAGGAACAGAAGAGCACAGAAGTGAAGCAATGTACCCAAGACTGTGCCAGACTGTGGAGGAACAGAGGTGAATTCCCTCAAACTTACCTCAGCTTTCCAACTACCTGCCCATCCTTTCTCTCCCTTTTTCATGTTTCTGGAAAACACCACTAAACTAATACATCAGAGTCTCATAAATAACAGCAAAAATGGAAAGGGACTGCAATCATCTCCATAGCCATGGAGCTATGTTTAGTCATCTATGTTTAGCTGACTAAACATAGCCAGGCTTTGCTGCAATAGAAAAGCTTTCTTCACTTGCGGCCAATGCTCTGTGGTGTTTAACACAAAAATAAGGACAAAGATACCAGCTTAAGGGCGTTGTCAGTCCCAGGTGAGATCTTCAGAAATGCTCAGTGTCAGCCTAAGACTGCTTCCACTGAGGATTTTAACCTCCCCATTAACAGAAGCAGAATTGTAGCACTTTCCTTTTCAAAAATCCTACTGAGAATCCTCTGCAGTTTAAAAAATGCATTAACTTGATGCTTATACACAAAATACATTTGAACACTGCACACACACACGTACTTCTGAGTATTAAAGTAACACTGTCAAACATAAAAGCCATGAATCAAGTCATGTTGTTCTTACTTAGATAATATCCTGCTGTAATCAATAGTTGTTGCTTGAGAAAATATTCAATACAGAGACAGAAGACTGACCTCCAAGTGTTTAATGAGAGAAAGTATTTCCAGTTATAAAAAGCTGAAAGAAAACAGCTCATTCATGGTTCATTTTCCCAGTTTCTGAGGGCTGACTATAAATATACGGTATTTGCATTTCTCTTTTTGGACTGTGAAGAACATATTCTAGACAGTTTTGTTACCAATAGTAAATTTTATTCCCTCACTTTCAGGCCACTGCTATAATGGTTAGGTTGTTAACAGCAGCAAAATGTTATGTTTTAAAAATCATTTTTTGGAAACCTCTTCAGCTGAGAATTTGTAAAAAATGTTCCATTTAATATGACCTGAATTAGGGTCCAGTTTCACTTAACAGCATCCTTTCTGAATGATCCACTTCCAATAGTATTTGGAACAAATGCCAAAGCTAGCACTATTTTTCAAAGTCTACTCCACTCGAGGGTTTTTCACACATTACCACTACAACAGCTCGAACGCCAGTCCAGCTCCCTGCGGAGAAGGCTATTCCTGACTTAATTTGTAACATTTAGAATACCTTTAAATGCATTCACTCTCTGCTTATGGCACACATCTGGGACACAAATACCTTTGCTGAAATACAGTATGACTACAGCTTTGCTGCCTTTGTACCTAACATACTTCTGTACATCTCCGCTGAAAACCACTACAAGTTTACTGATTCTAACACATGATGTACCTGATGACGTATAGATGAGGTGAGTTCACCATCAGATATAAAACCACTGCATGGTGAGAAGGGTGTAGGCTAGGCCCTAGATTTGGGGGTATTTCAAGTATGGTGAAATTTTTGTTCACCTCTTTTTCTGTCTTTACCCACTAAGTTCAGTCAGGTGCAGTTCATGCTAGGAAAAACACTAGCATCTTTACCCCTGCCATTCTAGAAGGCTTGGTGCTGAGAGATTTCCAGCTCACTGCTGCAGATTTAAGAGTTTTAGATACATTTCAGATAAGCAACCACATTTGGGAGTTAACCACACTTGCCTTGAACTCCAGAGTTTGACTTATTCATGAAAGGATTGTCGCCTACTGTCAGATGAGATATAAACACGTACAAGCCAAATAAGGTAGAGGTTATTTATAGGGTGAAGGCCTGCTCTACTTTTCTTCTGTTCATTTGCCTAAAGTGCACATAAATAATATCAGAAGCTATGTTGAACCTGAGAGCTTCATTCTGGTTGGTACCATAATGCTGTACTGCTTGCTTGCTCTGAACAGTTTCATCCTGAGCTTGCTCTCTTGTTAGTAAGCAGTTTAAAGTATAGACCCTTATTTCATTTCTTTGAAACACTTCACACTGTTTTGGTGTGACCTAACCTTGGATCAGGCAGGGTGGGAATCCAATAACGTTAAGTCTCATGATGAAGAAAAGTATACGATGTCTCCTTGTCCTGCTGCCCTCAGCCAGAAGAGGTTACCTGAGATTCCCAGCCTTTCTGAGATCTGGCAGGATCTACCAGGAGCACAAAGTCTAGGTACAACTCCAAACTGGCATCAAGACTAAAAACTTTGGAAGAAGGTAAGCGCTAATTGCAACCATGGAAGGAAATTTTTGCTACTAGTAGGATAATCATGGTTGCCCACTTTACTGCAAACTGCAGATCCATGGAAGGTTTTCTGTGCCATCCTGAGGAATCCAACACCAAAAATGGTTAATTCCTCCAGAGGAGATATCCCATGAAGAATTGCTCTTCTGCATCTGTAGAAATTAGTTCCTATTAAACAATGATAACACAAGATTCACAGAAAAAATAAGCTATGAGTTACAAAATTACATGCTTTCAGAAATTGTAGGGTTCTATAGCATTTTTTTCCTGTTGTTGTATTAACCCCTGAGAGAACTGTCATGTGAACTTGAACTTCCCAGTGATCTGCTAACTGGCATTAAATACTTGTGCACCATTTCAAGCACAAAACCAAATTCCTGCTCAAATCTCTTAATAATCTTTCCATACTAATCTTCACATAATCACCTATTTCAATCATAGAATCTGCAAACATAAGAAAATGAAACTGCACCCTTCAGAGTGGAAATGGCTATATATATGCTTTTGGAGTTTATTTTAGACAGAACCAGAAGGTTTTCAGCTCTCTTTTGTTTTTGCAAATAATAAAAACCCCAAAACAACCTCCCACAATTATGGAAAGAACCAGACTAACAAACCTATACAACATCCCTATCACAATTCAGAATTGAAAGTGACTGTCGTCTTATCCCATGGAAGAATATACTACCAGGATTCCCTGTAACTTTGGTTCCTCAGCTGTTAACCATTTGAGCAAGTTAAAAAAAGGGAGGTTATGAAAAATCTGCTTGTTATATTTATTACACTTTCCTTTCCATTTTGTACCAAAAAATGCCCAAAACATCAGGATCCATTTCTGTCTTTGACTCAGGTAGGAGATCTCAGCTGAGATTCCACTGTGCCTCCAGGTTAACACATATGAAGCCATCGCTGCATTGGAAATTCACTATCCAAACACAGCTCTTTGGGCAAACTGCTTAAGAGATTTCCTTGAAGTCAGAACAAACATTATTTTGTTCATAATCTTTGTGCCGGAGAAAAGTTTCATCAACTGTTCTCTCTAAATCTTTTTAACCCTGGAGTTATATGGATTCTAAACATCAGTGACCACTGGCTGAGTGCAGTTTGTGCTTGGCCTCATCTATTACATAGAAAATAGCACTGCAGTCAGTACAAATCAAAGGGTCCCAATTCTGGTTTGTAAGTATTTGGCTTTTTTTTTTTTTCTAATTGAAACTAAATTATTTAAATGAAAAATACCAAATAATGCATCAGTTAATTCTTGGACTGTTGTAAGCTTGGAGGGAGCAGAACAGAAATATTTTGCCTTTGTTATTTATGATATATATTGCAACCTAAAGAAGTCCAACATATTAGTCACTTAGAAACAAATTAGAATGGCATGCAATAGACTATTCCAGTTTGAAGGGACCTACAAGCATTATATAGTCCAGCTGCCTGACCAATTCAGAGCTGACCTAAAGTTAAAGTATGTTTTTAAGGATATTTCCCGAATGCATCTTAAACACTGACAGGCTTGGGGTATCAAACACCTCTCCAGGAAGCCTGTTCCAGAGTCTGACCATCCTCTCAGTAAATAAATGCTTTCTAATGTCCAGTTTACACCTCCCCTGGCACAGCTTTAAACCATTCCCATGCATCCTATCAGTGGATACCAGGGGTAAGAGAGCAGCACCTCCTGATCCGTTTCCCCTCCTGAGGAAGCTGTAGAGAGCAATGAGGTCACACTTCAGCCTTCTTTTCGCTAAACTAGACAAACATGCCAATCATATATATTTGTGTTTTCATTGACATCAGTGAAAGGCATCAATCGATGCAGTGCTACATTTTGATTTTGAACCACCAAGTACATTTTCAGCAAACGATTCCATGTAGTCTTCCCTCTACTCCTAGCAACTACACTTGTAACTAGTTTGTTGCTGCATGTTTGTTGATAGAGTACATTGAAAATAGCTGTGTCCAATGGTATACCGGGGCAGAATTCATGCCCTAAATCTGGGCTTTTTTTTCCCCAGAAATATCTCTCCTTG